TCCGTCATTTTTGGTAACATAAAGTACACATATGTGGCTAAGATAAATGGACCGTTTACAGTAATTGTCCATTTGCGAGTACATTCCACCGAGAATGTGTACACAAAATTATACACTGCATGGAGTTGCATTACATTGCGGTAGTGCATCGGTTCCATTACAAATTATTCAATTTTGTTTATTGATTTAAAGGATTTTGTTTATTGACAAATTGATAACAATGTGTTTGAACACAATATTCTGTGTCAGTCGCGTGTCCCCATAGCAAAATAATATAAGACTTTATAATTAAAAAAACTATTATAACTGCTTCAACACTGGTAAGATTTCTAATTTTTTTTACAGCATATGCTGCAGAACTAAGTCTGCTTGCTGGTTTTGATATATGGAGGTCCATTAAATCTTCGCGTCAAGTGTAATTCCAAGAAAAAATGTGGTATCGATAAGATTTAGCTACTGTCCATTTAAAATTACATCTGTATTTAGATGTTTGATATTGTTACGAGCTTGAGGTTCGTGACAATAAAAATTGCCGATAAAATTACCTAAATTAACACTTTAATTTACTTTACACAAATTAAAACTTAAAACACTAATAATTAAACACACTAATTCACTTTATTCCGCTCCGAAGCTTCGCTTGTCTCGCCAAATCAACACTGCCTCGATCGCATCTTGCAGCGCCTATTTATATAAATTAGCAAAGAAGCATCCGGAATATTCAAGTAAATGCGCGCAAAGGGACGAGTGTGCGAGTGTAGATTTTCTAGAAACTTAGTTCTTCGGATGGCGCTGTCGGTTGAGTGATTTGTGATGTCATTTTCTCAATGCTCCCCTCGCTCTCGTTCCTGACACTAGATGGCGCTAGTGTATCGTCGACTTGAGCGCGTAACAATATTTATAGTTACGAATTTGCACCATTTAAATGCAAATTATTAACGTTAAACCAGTTCACTAATTTAGATATAGCATTATTAACTCCTTTATAATTTAGTACCTAATTGTCGTTTTAATTTGAAATTTAATGAAGTATCCTCAGCAAATAATACTATATCATAGTTATCTCCTACGTATACGTACGTATGTAAGGTAAGTTTTTAATTTATACAAAATAACAGAAATGGGCTGAGAATTGAATCCTAAGGCACGCCTATTTGTACTATCGACCCGGAAAAACTTTTACGATAACTTTTTGCGCTCTGTTAGAAAAAAAGTTTTTTTGGTAACTTAATAAGGAAATTCATTTAATGAATAATTCTACTTTTAATCTTTTAATTTAAGAGCCGTGGTAGTTCAGGGGCTCAGCTCTTGCTGTAGATGTCGCAATACGCAAGCAACCCGGGGCGCAATCCCCGCCAGCAACAATGAATTTGTTAATTACAAATTTGAGCGCTGATTTAGAATACATAAATACATGGTGCGGAAACCTGCAGGACTAAGAAAAGATTTTGAAGGCATATGAAGTCCGCCAACACGCATTGTGGGAACACGACGGACATTACCTTGCCCTGAAACCCTCCTAGAAATAAAGGGAGGCCTGTGTCCAGTGGTGGGACGTATATTGCCTGTAAATTTACCTGTTTTATTTACTAAGAAAATATTTAGAAAAACTTTCTTTCGCTGAGAGACAGTTGTCAATAATCTCTATTTATTATACTCTTTTCACTATTATTAATTTCTATTTTATTTTAAAACATTACTTGCGCCATTATTGTACATATTATGACACAGGCATGGCAGGCAGGCATGGTTATAGAATATTTATCTAATCAAGCTAATTTGAATTTCATCCAATTTATCATTCGGGGTAAAACACAATTGTTAATTTTCAGACTGTGGTTGTGATGTGATTGATCGCTCGTCTACAACCAAGCCTAACCATGTTATTATCGCATAAACGTTACATTAGTCAGAATATTGATTGATTGGGAACATAAAACGCCTTTAATAAAGAGAATAATACGTTTTCTTTCGTAATCAAACTCAATTGCGATATTCAAACTCAATTACAATACGTGTCAAATATTTATAGGTAATAGAGCCATGCTGCAACTTTACTATACTTTTGCATGAATGTTTCGGCTCGACTGGGGCAGCACCAAGCTATCACAGAATACTAGCGTAAAATAACAGTTTAAGCTGCTGCTGTGTTTCGTATGGTGAGTATAGGGAACCGAGGACCCCTTTTTTATAGAAACGAGTCATTCCATGTTAATCCATAGGCGTGACTTGTCACTTTTTATATTCTATGAAAAAAATTGCAGCCACTTGAAGTGTCATACGTGTCTAAGCCCTTCTGCCTCATTCAGCTTTTTTTTAGATCATTCTTTTTTAAATGAATCTCCTTTGTCTTTTATAAATACTACAACGTAGATTCTCGTAACTTAATAAAGTTTTATGCCTTATTATATGTTTAATTATTATATTTGAAAATTCTTTGTTAGTGGCACTTTAACTTCACAAAAGTTAAAAAGAAATAAATGTACGCATGTAAGGGTTAAAATTATACTATTGATGTAGTTTCTAACTGTTCACATAGTAGTCTCATATTATGTATACTTAAAGTTTTTTATAAAGTACTTATATAGTGCGCTTCGATTTGTCGATGTGTCGATGTAATTTATTTATACAAAACATTAGTATAAGCAAAAATAACATTTGATGCAGAATACATTAGTTGATAATGTCCATAATATACGTAGGTCACTCAATAAGTTTTGAGATGCTCGAAATTTAAAAATTGAACGCATAAAAATAAATTTATTTAAAAATGAAATTCCCTAAGCCATTTACTCAATACTGAAAATAAAAACAAGTCCTATTAATTGTCCTGCAACGCTTGCCGCACTTTTTATTAAAATCGATGGATCTTATCCGTGAACATTTGCGCGCTATGACCTATTATGATTTTAAATTTGGTTTAACCAAAAAATTAAGTTTACACCTACTACAATCAGCATGAGGGGATTCAGATCCATCACGCGCAATAATTTTTGGGTGGTTTGCTGAATTCAAAAGGGGTAAAATTAACCTTAAAAATGACCAAAGAACTCGAGCCCCGCAAACAGCAGTAACGGCAGAAAATGTATGGACTACAGAAATGTTGGCGCAAGAAGAATCACGAATCACATAAGTATACGGACATCGAAAATATTGTATGGATTAGTTCAAGGAGCATACATACCATCCTAAATTAACATCTTGTAGTGAGGAAGCTTTGTTATCGATGGATCCCTCGTTTGCTCTGCGAAAGCGAAAAACAGACTCGTGTCGTGGATGGATTGGTGCCATGAAATGCGTCTACGTTTTGAAAACGGGGCATCCAGACGTGTTTCAGAAATTGTAACTGATGAAGAGACATAGATCTATCAATATGACCCGGAAAATAAAAGTTAATCATTGGTATGGGTCTACTCAGAAGGACAGTTACCGACAAAACTGCAAAGACCTCGCAACGTCGGCAAAAAATGGTGGCTAGTTTTTTTACGGAACTGACATTTGTCGACGTCAATGCTGGAAAATTGTAGGTCAGTTAACTCTTAATGGTATATTCGTACAACAGTTGCATTAGTCAAAGCTTTGAAAGCTGTGCGGGAGAGAAGACCAAAGACCGGGCTTCGAGGAATCATGCTGCATCACGATAATGCCTCTTCACATACCCTTAGAATAAAAGCATTTATTGAGGAATCTGGTATTGAATCTCTAAGTCACCCACCCTACAACCCTGGCTTAGCTCCTTGTGATTTCTTTTCGTTTCCAAGAGTCAAAAAAATAAAAAAATAAGAGAATATTTTGAAAAGATGTTTAATAAATATTAGTAGTATCTAGAACACTTTTTGTATATCTCAAAACTTATTGAGAGTCCTACGTATATACAACTTTTAAGCAAAGTGATTGACTATATTTCTTGTTTTTTTTTTTTAAGTTATAATCGAAAGATTTGTAGCTAGGGATTTGATTGCTTGACAAAATTTGGTCAAAAAAGCATCCAAGCTCTGACGTCCTGAATTCTGACGTGGCTGAAATCAGTCTTGAGGACAAACAAAGATTTTTTAGATGCTTCCGGAATTTTAGAAAAAGAAGAAGAGAGAGAACGGTTTAATAAAAACAAAAGAGCGATAGTATGTAAGAAAAAAGTTATTTGTTTTTCTAATCTTTAATATTTAAGAAATAAGTGCATAAAATAAAAGTTTTCAATCCGTATCTCTATAATCCGTTTTCAAGCGTAGCCTTCACGACAAAATCTTGCCTATGAAGTAATCTATGGGAGAGGTATTTATTCAACAGTGGACTTTTATAGGGTAAGGAATAATTTAGGATAATACCAAGTTAATTAAAAAAAATCCTAAATACTAGTAATTAATTCAATTGTAAACTTTCTGTTACGCAGTTAGTATGTTTAATACTGTTAAAACAGAAAATAGGTCAAAATCTGCGTTTCAAAACCGTTGGAGTAAATCATGTTAAACCGATGTGACAAACAAAGCCAGCTAATGATAATGATGTTTACCTTCGTCTTCGCTCTGCTAGCCCTCGTTTCGTCTTGAAATCTATCGCTTTAATATTTAAAATTGTTGAATCAAATTGGCTACGCCTAGTTTTCATTGAAAGTTTCAGGTTTTATATAATTGGGACCAAATTCATTTGAATGCAGTAGCTATATGACTTCCATCTTTCGAACATAGACCACAGGTTTTAAAAGGAAAAATAAAATAGGAAACAAAGAAAACAAACATTTATTTCACTCCTTGGAGTTGCATATAAGTTGGTATGGGCGATACGTGCTACGTAAGTTGACTGTTGGTTTTGAATATCAATAGACCTTTGCAGCTCTTTTAGTAGATAACTTATTATAAATCAGTCCGGTTCAAGATTTCTTATCAGATACACGTATATACTTCGCTTCTAAACTTTTTAGTAAAAATATAAGTACCATTGTCAACATCCGCTACCAAGTGTTCCTCAAACTTATAGAATATTTTCTCCCTACTAACTTCAATATGGTGGTATGTGGTAAATGTTGTGAGGAAGTGTCTAGCGCCATTCAGTGCTCTGCCTGTCGTAAGTTCTTCGATTACCAATGTTCTGGGATAACTGAAATTGGCTATCGCAAGCTAGGAGATAGACAGTTATCGTGGCGCTGTGTTTACTGCAAGACGTCTCAACAATCAACCCGGCCTGGATCACCACCTCCTGAAACTACACGTCAACCTACTCTTGATAGTGTTATGATTGAACTGCAGAAGCTTTCGTGCCAATTACTGCCCCTTCAAGAAGTCATCAATGATATTCGAATAATCAAAAACGATATTTCAGATCTACGTAAATCTAACAACAATATGCTAGAAAAGCTTGATAGCTTTGAAAAAAGACTTCAAGTAGTTGAAAATGCTGAGCAAAAAATATCGTCTCTAAAGGAACAGATAAATAAGATGGAAGCAGAAATTAATGAAAAAGATCAGTGGCTTCGATCAAATAACGTCGAAATCAAGGGAGTACCATTTAAACCTGGGGAGAATCTTTTTGATATTGTAACTAAATTAGGATCTATAATAACCTATCCTGCGTTGAAGAGTAACTTGTAAAAGTAATTGTAATAAATAGGAGATAAGTCTGAAAGATTAATCTTACCTAGCATCCTTGATCTATGCACAAGTATAGCTTGATATTTCAAGGGATTGACCAATACCCCATAACGAGTAGATCAATCTTTGATAGCCGATAAATCGTCGTTTAATTTTTTAGTCCTTTTGTGGATTACTAGCCTTGGTCACCCGCCCTGTATCTCCGACCAAAAATAAAAGAAAAACTTCGAGAAAAACGTTTTATGGACGTCGAGGAAGCAATTGCTGCGTTTCAAAATGCCGTTGAAGAGACCCCTAAGGACGAGTGGGCAAAGTGTTTTTCGCGGTGGTTCCATCGGATGCAGCGATGTATTGATGTACATAAATGGACATTATTTTCAAAAGATATAATAAAACTAATAACTTGCTAGTTTGTCCAGTTTTTGATTTTATAAAATCTTTCAGTGTCACCTTCGTATGTCAGAGATTATTGTGATATGACGGGTTCCGTATTTTACTGACAAAGGTTTATTAATTATGTTATCAAGTTTGGAAAATATTTCTTAATTTTTTTGGTTATTTATAAAATCGTTTAAGTCTATATTTTGCAGTAAAATAGGAGATATATATTCCTTATTACTAGAGGATACATTAAGTTTACAACAAAAATCGTTAATAATGTTAAAAATCTAAACTAGGTGTAGGAATATTATTGTTTAAAGTGTCCTAAATTAAAAATGTTAATCGACAAACTACTCCTGCAACGCCAGAAAATGATTCCAAAGCAAGCGTTTTAACTATGCCTTGCTCGTGGCTGCACGTACACTGTTTGATAGCTCGTTCAACAATCTTACCGCGTAAGACGTAAAAGATTTATACAAGAAGCTAGTGTGACAGATGGGGACATGGAGATTAGACTTTTCCGCAGAACGGAGACAACGATTATGAGAATCACCCTGATACTGAAATTTACATTTCAGATATTCGGAGACAAACGGGTCGTGTAAAAATTTTCATAATCTAATCTCAATAAATCCACTGTTTCGATTTCACACAATTTTCCTGAACTGCTACTTAACAGTATTTTTTTGTATTATCACTGATGTGTTGCATGCGACAAAACAACATGTCTCTTTTAGCGTAAAGGGTGTTAAGTCGCATTTCATTTGCACTTACTGCCATCTTGCAGTACAAAAACTAATATTAAACCAAAACATAAAACAAATTGTGTAGTGATGGAAAACGGAAGTTTCCCTGCGTACGAGAGATTTACTATTAACCGACGCTAAATGTATCCGAAACTTCAATAAATCAGGTAATACTTTGCCAGTGACACATTACTTTTCCTCAAAATAATATTAAATCAAACGCTTTGCCACGATTAAATTACGTGAGCGGGTAATTATACAACAAGATGTAACAATTTATTTTGTACTTTGCGGGTGGACGTAAAATTCTACGACAAACAATTTATGTGTAATCGAGTTTTATGTATATATTTGACCGATATTATACTACTTAGAATGAATTTAGAAGGCGTTATTTGTAGCATACACTGACCAAATCAAAACAAGTATTTATGCACGAATGCACTATGTAAATAATTCGTATAAATTTAACGAATTGCGGAATTAGATAAAGAGAAAACTACAGCATCTGCTTATGTTTGACCCCAAACTAAATAAAACAAGCGTCCATTTACCTAAAGTATATGCGAGTGTAACTACAATGGTCGAAATTTTAGCTATTTGTAATTTTAAATTAAACAATATGGCGTGCAGTACCCCAGTAGTGTGAAACTAAATCTATCTAGGAACCTAGGCGCAAACAAACTAGAGTGCATTGTCCAAATTAGTTTAGCGGTTCGACTCGATCAGGCCACACAGGACGCCAGTTCCAAATCCGAAGCGAATGGACCACAAAATGGCAACGCTATATGTTACCCCTTCGAAGGAACCACCTCGGAGGAACCACAAAATCGTGGCGCTAATGGTTTCTAATTTTAAATCCGGAATGAAGAGCCACAAAATGGTAGAGCAGTAGGGTTCCTGGGTTCGAATCTGGAAACGGATGGTCACAGAATAACTAGGATAACTAGGTTGCCCTTCGTATCTGGAGCGAATGAACCACAAAATGGTGCGGCCACAAGGTTTCGGGTTCAATTCCCGGGAACAATGGCCTCAAGAAATTGGATACAAGAACTTCGAAAGTGGACTGTATTTAGCGTGGTTCACTATAACCAAAACAAAATAGCTAACGTCGCACGTGGCAGGCTTTGGAAAATGCACTTGCTGTGACTCAATTTACTATATTTAGCCGGTACTTTTGTACGCGAACCAACATGAGCTGCCAGGAAAAAAAATAAGGACAAAAAAACAGCTCGATAATTATAGGAGAGCATTTACTGGGTGGGTCTTCTGACAGGCTTTGGTCTCAGGCCTCGAGGCTGGTGACACTGTGTTACAACTGGATGAGCGGCAGCAGCGCACGTTCTTTTACCTCCTCGACCGTCCCCACTTAAATCTTAGCGAATCGCGCCTTTTAATTGGAAGCAAAAATAATTTCAAACCTTCTCCCCCCCCCCCCTTCAGTACGTGTAAAAGAGAAGCGGATGAGATGGGAGAATGTACCAGCTAATTACTAGCTAATTGAAGAAAAATGCGAGGGTATTCGTTTTCCGCTAAGCCAATTATTGTATATCTTAAATGACTTATATTCAAATTTTGAGCAAATTATTTTTTTTTATATAAGAGGGGGCAAACGAGCATGCGGCTCACCTGATGTTAAGTGACTACAGCCACCCATGATCAACCGCAACACCAAAGAATTGCAGGTGCGTTGCCGGCCCTTTAGAAAGGAGTAAGCTCTTTTCTTGAAGGTCCCCAGGTCGTATCGGTCCGGAAAAATCGCTGGTGGTAAACTATTTCGCAGAGAGGTTGTACGCGGAAGAAAACTCCTTTTGAAACGTACAGTGGTGGACCGCTTAGCATCCAGATGGTGTAGATGGTATCGGGACGTTTGCCGCGTAGTGAGTTCACGAAATTTGGCGGCTGGGATTAATCCGAACAATTCCTCAGAGCACTCTCCATGGTATATGCGAAAGAAAATGCAAAGGGATGCAATATCTCTTCGCAGTGTATGTGAATCGATTCGATCGGAAAGCACTCGGTCGTCGATGATTCGAACCGCTCTGCGCTGGATGTGGTCAAGTGGAAGGAGCTGGTACTGGGGAGCCCCAGCCCAGAGATGGTAACAGTATTCCATGTGCGGCCGAACCTGCGCCTTGTAAAGTTGCAGGCGGTGTGCCGGCATGAAATACTGTCCCGCTCTGCTGAGCACGCCAAGCTTTTTAGAGGCCAATTTAGCCTTCTCTTCCAAGTGACCACGAAACTGCACGTCACGCGATATGTCGACGCCGAGGATACCGATACTGGCTGAGGCAACAAGGGGAGTGCCTTGAAACTGAGGAGATACGACAAAGTGGTTCTTTTTAGCGGTTAACGCCCAAACTTGTGTCTTCTAGTGGTTAAACTGGACTAGATTTAGTCGCCCCCAATCCGTGACTCGCAGTGGCACTCGGAGACGTTTTCCCGAGAAATATTGGCTCGGCTGGTGTAAAGAGCATCACCAGTGCTATCATCTTCATAGCAATGAATGTTACGGGTTTGCAACATATCATTGATATGGAGAAGAATCAGCGTTGGCGATAGCACGCAGCTTTTTAGAACACCAGCATTAATAGGCTTGCAATCGGAGCTTAAACCGTCTACAACGACCTTGATGCTCCGATATGCAAGAAAGCTGGTGATCCAATCGCACAATTTCTCGGGAAGCCCATAGGAAGGGAGCTTCGAAAGAAGCGCTTTGTGCCAAACCCGATCGAAGGCCTTTGCAATGTGCAAACTCACGGCCAATGCCTCCCCCTTGGACTCTACTGCCTCCGCCCATCTATGAGTTAGGTACACCAGAAGATCACCAGCTGACCGACCACGCCGAAAACCGTATTGGCGGTCACTAATCAGCTGGTAATCCTCAAGGTACCTCATGAGCTGGCAGTTTACAATGGACTCCATTGTTTTGGCGAACAAGGAGGTGATGGCGATAGGCCGGTAGTTGGACGGGTCTGAGCGTAGAGTACTAGTCGAGTACTAGTAGAGTAGTCTGAGTGGGAGTACCGGAAAAGACGCGTTAAACCGGTGCAACTCTGGAGCACACGTCGTCAGCACAATTGGGCGGATTCCGTCAGGACCACTCGACTTGTGGATATACAGGGAGAGGAGTGCTTTGCGAATCGAGCGCTGTGTGAACTGCATTTCCGGCATGGAGCACTCACACCGCGGGATGGTCGGCGGCGTACTTCTCCCGTCATCGAGAGTCGAGTTGGACGCAAAGAAAGAGCCTAGAAGATCAGCTTTCTCCTTTGCGGTATGGGCTAGTGAGTCGTCCTTCCTATGCAGCGATGGAAGAGATGGCTGAAAGAAATTCCCCTGGACAGCCTTGGCGAAAGACCAGAATGCACGGATTCCAGAAGGAAGGCGAACTAGTATCTCGCACATTCTGCCTATGTGCTCTGACTTTGCCTTGGCAATGACTCTTTTGAAGGACCTAGAGGCGGAATTATACTTCCTTTTTAGAGCACTGGTGTTTATATCCCGAGACGCTGATGCGTCAGCCCAGGCTTAGTAGCACTCCTGCTAATAGCATGATGCTATTTTACAGGAGCGATAGAACTATGGCTGAGATTTGTCTCCAATGGGCACCACAGAGGAAGAAATAAAAATTTCCATACCCCGAAGTACCATATCAGTGACAAAATCCGCAACAACGTTGGGTTCGGCCAGTGAGAAGCAGATCCGCCCCCAAGGGTAGGATGCAAAGAAAGACCGCATCCTATCCCAATCGGCTGACCTATAGTGCCAAACACGGCGGCAGCCTGCAGAATGCAACTTCGATTTGTGCGTGAGTGGCACTACACTCCTGACAAGACAATGGTCCGAAGAGCCTAAAGGGACGTCGACGGA